CCATCGATCGAGCTGTATCGGCAGTACACGGCAATGCAACAGACGCACAACGTCCTTTACGTGCAATATGTATAACCACCACCTTACCGTGAGATCGCGTCCTTTCCAATGCCACATAAAGCGTTTGAAAGGAAGTCGATACATCAATAGTTCACCATCACTCCGTGTCATCCGTCAATCCTTGAAGACAAACGAATACTAAATGCACGTGCAGAATGAGACCGATGTTCGGAAAAACGTAACCACGGCGACTTTCAGATTCATCACGCCTCTAGTATGTAACCCGCGGTTGCCAAGACACTAAGCATTAAACGTGGAACCCGTGCAGACAGCGTGGCGTAGCGGCAAGCGAACTGCCGGGAAAACAGCTGGTCACAACTGAAACAACCACAACATGCCAGCGGGCAGGTTCCTGATTTAAGGTGCTATTAATTCTGAACCTGCCCGCTGGCATGCTAGCGTCGTTATTATAAAAACCTGAAATAAATAAACGACCGAACACAGTAAAGCCTATAACGACGTTTAGGTAAACGCGTCTTGTGCTAAGCACACTTTTCTCGATAAAAGTCCCACTTCCTCGCAGGTCTCCAGTAATCGAACACGAGATCCATCACCCGCTCAGACACAGCGCACCAGCGAAATAGGAGGCCTGAATGAACAAACCATTTTGTTTTGCTCACGGGAGTCTGTCAATGCACGTTCTCACACGGTTAACATCACAAACAAGCGTCATGCTGGTGTTTATAGTCGGCGTAGTAGTTTTGGACGGTGGAGAAGCTGGCGAACGGGCCTAGTCTGTGTACCTGAGGTGGCACGGTCAGCGTATTTCTTTTGTTTGGGCTCCTCGGTGCAGTCAGCATTATACTATCGCACAAGAGACTCGCTCCTAGCCTTCCCCTTGAAAATTCCACCGGCCAAAAACTACTGCGCCGACTCTACTCCTGCTAAGGTCAGCTTCACACACACACACACATATGGGGCAATTCTGAGAATATTTAAAGTCTGAGTCCCATCAACACAAGCCACGAGGCAAAGGGATCAATCACCATACCTTCCTGAGACGACCATGTAGCCTCGTCTGGGGTGTCCACACGAACAGCTGGCGAGCCCACAACGACGGTCTCTACGTCTAAGTCAGGAGCCTGGTACACTGCAAGACAATGAGGGGTCACATCACACCAAGTGCGGACGTGCTCAACCCACACAGCGAGGGTGCCACAGGGCTGCAGCCGACGGTACGGTTAAACCACAACAGAAAAGACCCTGGCATCATATTGAGTCGAAAAGAATTCAAAGCGATTTGGGGTGTAGTCTCCCGAGATATCCCCACGACATTTAATAACTCGGGTGAGACCTCGTCACACCGTGGCTTTAAAGGCGTGGGCCATGGCCGGCAGTTTACTGCCTCAAGGAGCCATCACCCTGGAAATCATCGCTACAGAAACAAGTCACAACACGACATACATGGAAGAACACTCGGGGTTCTGAAAGTGCTGCCTCACTTTGCCCGCGGTTAACAGTGCAATGGCGAGGCGTCACAAACCTGCAACTAAATACAAATCGAAAGCTTTGAAGACGATACTTGTGAATATAATGTAAGAGTACCTCGAAGTCCTTAAGAGAAAGAGAGAACCTGCGGCACGTGGCCAAATACTGGAAGCCCTCTTTCAAAGACGACTTCAGGTGTCTGCAGTCACAGCAAAACTTTCAATGGTCAGGTCCGAAATCTCCAGAGTAAAAAAGAGCATGACAACTGCCTCTCGGCCTGTTTAGTTGAGAGTGTCAAAAACAGAGCACTGCCACCTCGGTCAAAGTTGGAACGAAAACAAAACAATGGATGTCCAAAAGACAACAGTGAGACGATCTCATCAGAGCTTGGTGCGAAGTCAATGATGTATTGCTAATTCAGCATTCCACTTACCATCCTCAACAGCTGCAGCCCTGCGGGACGCCCTATCTGACCGTACAGCTAGCCTTACCTTGGCTGAAATAGACCGGGGTGTGATTGTGGGGGGTTCTGTTGTACACCACGCTTCCGTCCTGTCCCGTCATCACCCTGGCTCGGCATTTTAGCTCCTTATTCGACCGCAAATTCAGTTCACAGCGCCAGTACGACCTGTCTTGGCGCGTGTGGTCCCTGTGGTAAGCAAAGCCACGGCCGTCGTACAACTTGTACCCGCGGCCAGTGCTCACGACGACGACTTCCTGGACCGCTGAGTCCATTCTCACCACTCACAGCACACACAAATACACATCCCCGTTCACAGCTCCTCTCCAACCGACACACGCTACTTTCCTTATAACGCTCCCATAAGATCAGATGTTGTTTGCCGAGGGCCTCAGGAGCACGCGTCTGTTCTGATCCGGCGTCTCGTTAATTTCCCAACTCAGAAGAGCTGCTTAAAACATGATCTTCAACCCAACACAGCGAAGAAGTACACGTATTACAGAAAGTAACACTCGGCCTAAGGTAGCCAACAGAAATCGGACTGATTAAGGATAAAACATTCATTCTCCCCTACACCACACATCCTGTGCCAGTATACTCTTGACAAACTGGAAGCGGCAGGGCCCTGAACATAACATCTACCTCTTTCCCGTGAAGGCAACCAGTTTTCAATACAAGTAGCAGACAAGAGAGCTGTAGCATTAAGGGAGTCTGTAAGAACCAAAGTCGTTCCTAACGCAAAACACAAAATTTCTCTGCTCTAACGGAAGAACTAAATTTAACGAGAGAGAATTCTGCTTACACAGATATCGTACCAAAGCGACGCCCTGTTCTCATTCATCAGCCACTTAACAACAGTGACTTAATTTTATCTCCAACTACGTGTCACATAAGAACAAAATGATACAACAAATTCTTTCCTTTTAAACACGCCTTATCTATTCCATTTTTGACTTACGGCTTCCGAGAATCAAGTAGGATGTGAGGTTTTCACGGCGGTGAATCTGGGTTGTTGCGCGGTGTAGTCTGCGTAGAAGTTTACCAACGCTCAAGACGGATGATGGAGTTAGCAAGGACTTCTGAAACGTCGGTAAACTTCTACCAGCCCACGTGGCGCCTACAACCCAGAAGACAGCCATCTTCCTTCCGAAAACCATATTTCAGAAACACGCGCACAATCGTCTCATTGGCAGTCTTCTTCCAAGCGACGATTGCCAAGTGCTAAATGCTATCATAGTTCTGCCACTAGATGTCTCTAAATTACAGCCGTGAAATGGAACAGTGGAAGGTGCCAGTGCGGGAAGAACAACATGGCGATGGAGCGTTTGGAACCTGAACACGTATTTGTGATGAAAAAAAGTGACGGTGGGACAGGCGTATCTCCGACTAATTCGGTTTTCTCCTGTCAATATCATTCCACGGCTGCTCCATTTATACTTATACACCATCTGGGGGATACGAAGAGGTCCAGTTCCACAAAAACATTGTCGCAACCCAACTCATCAACACAAGAAGCCATGTACACGCTGCAGATCGCGTACTTCCGTGGACACGGCACTTCCTTGCCAAAGGCTACTTCTGCGATTACTTTACTCGACGTAATATCAACGGGGACAATGATACACCGTCCTAACCGGAGCCCTTCGTTGTGATATGCGCCAGCAATATTCTTATAGGTAGTTGGACGACAAACAATATAAACGGGTTCACGAAAACGGGGACAAATTCGTTTGTTTTTAACGAGCGATATCACGCTCTGAACTCTTAAAATCACAAATGTGACGTCTTGTATTATTTGCTTGTGATGTACAAAGCAGCAATGTCAGAAACTCGTATTATAACAGCGCAGAACGATAGGATTAATTAGCGAGAAAGGACATTGAAGGAAGCGGTCGCGGCCTAATTTAAGATACTATGGAAAAAAGTACAATCGCTTGTCTTCGGCCCGCGATTTGAACCCCGGATCTCCCGAGCACGCTACAAAAGTGGCAATCACTGGGCTGCGACGTTTCGCTTTTCCAACTTCGACTCTGACAAACCACATCCATAATTTATATTTCATCAATCACACACCAGTTAGTCAAGACGACACAGCACGGAAATAGCCGCGACTAGTGGCGATACGTGGCACTAACCTCTACGGACAAACGCACATCGGATAGAATAATGGTGGGTAAACTTATGGACGCAACTAATGTAAAAATTCAGTTCAGTCCGTGACGTTCTGATACTATTAATGTTTACTTTCTCCTACACACTACAGAACGCGTAATGTAATGGCTAGAAAATCTAAATGTTTGCGGACATGGAAATTTTGGGGGTCAAACTTGGCTCACTCCAGCACAAATTTTAACTAGTGGCAGGAACACTCCGGAACCAACACAGCAGATCAATTTTTAATGTAATAACCCTATTAAAGATGCCGATTTCATGTGCCCTAACAATCTATAACCTATTGTCAAACAGCACGAATAATCGATAACTCTCAAGTATCTGAAGCGTTGAATTTTTGTCCCGAGGAAAACCGCCCTGGTGTCACTTGCAAATGCCCCATCCAGCAGAGTCCTTGAGAAGCTAACAGTAGCTTGGCTGGTCAAGGAACTCCCCACCCTGTATAAGTATGGAACACTTCGCGTTCAGAGATGAACCCAGTTCGCATCCCCACAGCCTACTTCTTTACAGAAGGTTGTTAAAAGAAACTCGCCAAACATCCGAGGCCATGTGCACCATCTCGCAAACTAACATCGTATTTCCCAATCCCATCTTGGGGAACCGCCCCTTGTCGATTGTTCGCGAACATTTGTTCAATGCATTAGCATCTAACTTCCATGTGTGGTGGCCGTCTCCTTCAGGAAAGTCCGTCCACGAGAATCTGATGACATCACGAACGTTATCTTGTTCTCAACCTCGAAGGCAATGGCTGACGATAGCAAAATGTGTCTGCTAATGTTTACGAGCGAGCTTCCATCATATTAAATAAGTTACACGGATTTCATAAAATTAGCACGTACATAAAAAAAATATAATCGGGAAGCCACGTATTCGAAATGAATACACAAACTAGTAGGCAGTTCAATACTGAGTTACCTCGCGGTGGATTTTGCCAGAAAAGGGTTTCCTCGAGGAAAAAAGTAAGCCTGAGGTCATCGTACAGTGCTGGTGTCACCTCCATACTTATGAACCAAACGATGTTCAGGAAATACAACATCTTCGTAACACGTAAGGCAATACAAAGTAAGCAAAGTTCGCTGCTGAAATTGCAGGAAGTCTGCATTTTGTTTTCGGTTCGAAGGCCATAAATAATGAACATCTCAGCAAATTTCTGTTTGGAGACAAACTTTGTACATATTAAGCACGACGTAGCTTAACCTGCAGCCCCCGTACCTGAACTACCGTTTGTTTTATTAGATAAATGAGTTTTTCTTTTCTCATTTGTAGTACACCAAGTCACCACTGACAGCGCTACTGTAGTACAAATTATAATGGCACCTTACTGGAGATGCAACGTGATTTCTTGTTTCTTGTGACGGGGAGGTTAAATTCATTCCGTACTTGCTGAGATGACTTGATAAAATGGGTAACCAAAACCCTACTCTGTTTTCAAAACAAAGTGCAAAAAAGTAACAACAGAACAAACGCACCAAAATTAGTACACTGAAGATGGCGGCAACACGCACTTCTGAAAAGTCAGTCACTTTCTGCGAATCCCAGAAGTCATCTACAAACTCCGCGTCGTGAGAGCCTCAAATCACTTTTCGTACTTCCCCCTTACGAAAGTAAATCAGATTAAAAATATCTTGCACTAGAATGTTCTTCGACTACGTTCTCGTCTTATCTGCGACCAGAGCAGATGTTATGTCGCGTCGGCAGTCGCTGTGCACAGTTCATGATCATGAGCTATATCATCTATGGCATGCCCCACAAATCGTGAACGCCTGCCACAAATTTATGCCAAGCTACTACAGCCTGATCCTTTGAAAGTGTCACAAAGTTCAAATATTTGGGAACAACAACAACAAATCAAAATGACACTCATGAGGAAGTTAGGAGGAGACCAAATTCCGGAAATGCTTGCTACTTCTCAGTTCAAAATATTTTGTCTTCCCGTCTGATTTCTAAGGACCTGAAAATTAAAGTACACAAAACGATAATTTTGCCTGTTATTTTGTGTGGGTACGAAACATGGTCTCACACTCTGAGGGAGGAACACAGATTGCAGGTGTTTGAGAACAGGATGTTGAGGAGGATATTTGGGCCTAAGAGAGAAGACGATGGGGCATGGAGAAAACTGCATAATGACGAGCTTAAAAATCTGTACTCCCCCAGTATTGTGAGGGTGATTAAGTCGAGAAGAATGAGATGGGCTAGGCATGTAGCGCGCATGGATGGGACAAGAGGTGTGCACCGGGTACTGGTCAGGAAGCCTGAGGGGAAGAGACCGCTGGGGAGACCTAGACGTAGATGGAAGGATAATATCAGGCGGGATCTATGGGAGATAGGAGTTGAAGGCGACTGGATTTTGTTGGCCCAGGACAGGGTCCGGTGGAGGGCTAATCGTTTTAAAAAGTAGTACCAGAAAAGGTTTCTTGACCGTTGGTTCCAACAGGATAACTGGTCTCACACCAAGGAAAGAAAAAAGCTGAACTGTCCTGAGTAAAGACATAATAATTCCTTCGCTTTTCAAACAACTGACGATAGAACAGCAGAGCGCGTTCATAACAATGACAAAAGAAGTCTGAACGGCGCCTGTACTCCGGGAAGCCCATTACACCAAGCAGCTGCTGACCGCACGCATGAAAACATTTGTTATTCACTACGGAATGAGAAGTCCGGGCGACCCCATTGCAAGGCGCAATAACAACTGTTGAGCTTACATATCGCTGAAACAGGCGACAAAGAAAATTAATGTGAATGACCGGAAGATACGTGAACATAAACAGCGCCTTTGGGTAGAAGAGCTTACGAAAATTCCGAAAAGGTCGCTTGTCTTCAGAATGCGAGTCAGCTGTCACAACGTATTACGGATCGTTAGTCCATGCCCTGTGCAGGTGTACAAGAACGAATCAAATAATGAGTGGAATCAATAAATAAGAAACACGAATAGTGTGTAAAATATTCATTCCTCTGTCCCTTAAACTTAATGCCCTGAAGCCAACAGGATCTTACCGGACCGTCACACGAGGTCGTGTCAAATTCAGGTTCATGCTATCTAAAAACAAAAATCCTTCGACAGAAACCACGCCGCGCTGTTCAATTCTGTTATGATGCAGACGATAAGAAGTGTGGCCCTTCCGACTTGCATTTCACAACCCAAAAACCAGTAAAAATGTGCGAGATTTCTGGTTCTCACGGCGACGAGTAAGAATATCTTGATGATGGAGGCAGTAACCACATCTGAAACGTCAGAAAATTTCTACGAGACAATCAATCATCATAAATACAGTTCCATTTCCGTTCTCGTGTTTAAAAGTATTCTTACGTGAAGCTTGCATGAGGCTCCTCATGCAGCGATGCCGTTGGAGGGACGAGGTACCAGTGCGATGGCTGTCGTATCGCAGGACACCCTGGCAATAATTGCACTGCACGAAGCCCACCGACTCGTCAGAGTACGGCCTCACGAGCAGCGAGAACCTGGCCCACACATCGCTAATGCCACTGAACCCCGCCTTATGGTGCCGGGTCGCGACTAGGTGCCCTTCTGCCAACTGCTGCAGCACGCTGGCCTTCGCGGGGTCAACGTCAACCAACGGCCTACGATCCTCCGATTTTGGCCTTCGGGCCATCTCTAAGCACGGGCGCGAATCGACTGAAATGGACAGCCAGCCCGAACCAGCTCGCGGGCTAGCCCGACCTCAAACCCGATTGGTCAGTGAGCAGCCAACCAACCCGACCCGCCAAGAATGGAAGAGCGAGGGGGACAAGAGAGAGGAGCCATCTGCAGTACGGAGTAGCAACTACATACTGATCTCGTGGAAATTAGCGTAACACGTCGTTCCTAGCATAGCCGGCGTACTAACCATTACCAAGAGATTTGTTCAAAATCCTGGTTTCGAAAGGTAAGAAGACCAACACCCTTGTTACATGATAATACTACGGAAACTATCTGTGAAGGCATGAGAGGTTCTATGACAAGTTTCGTTTAGGGATTCATTAGTGGCAATAAAACGAAATGAAATTCTGAGGCCATAAACATGGGAGTTCCTCGAAGAACAGAATGGAATAGAATGTGCAAAATTTAAAAAAAATATGCGGAAGAATATTACTACAATGCAAAGACACAATGAGATCTGAGTGGTTATACTAGGCATTCAGTTCTGTAATGTCACAAAATGACAGTGATATAAACTTCGCATTTTAAGTAATGTCTGCAGAAACGATCCTTGTAAAATCTGTATTTTGTTTACAGAATCACAGAAATTTATGGAACAAGGTCAATTATTGGTTTTTTGTTTACAGAATCACAGAAATTTATCGATCTAGGTCAATTATTCGTAACACAACCACATATGGTACAGATGTAAAGAGAAATTTAGCTTTTTTTTTAAGGCCTACCAACCAACACAGAGCACCTTCATTAAAATGCAATGCTTTCTACAACACTCCCTAGTTCCAGTTCAGTGCCATTTTACTTCCACCAGAGCAGGGATTATCATTCTCTTCCAGACCTGGGGTCACATTAACCCTTTCTTATCAACTCTCAAGCCACAAGAACACCTTTTTGAAACATCATTACATTTTATTAGCATTTTAGTAAATTAGGCCTTGTACTGCAGATAGTTCACAAATTACACAATTTTCTTCAACAAAATTAGTTACTATTGAGATATTTGTGACACTGCTTTTGTGTGAGAACTCTTAGTATCAGCTTCGGTTTCTGTCAATGATATTTACAAGAATCCCTCTGAATGTCCATCAATAAGACACATTCTAGCTCTTGGGCTGAGCAGTTACTCACAGCAACACTTACTGCCAAACATTAGTGGCATTAACAAGGCATGTTTTCTGATATCAGGTAAGTGCTGTTCACCACAGCATTAAAAAAAATACATGGCCCAAAAAATGCATCAGAACGCTGCGAATTTTTGACCAGAGAATAACATTATGTTGTCACTATAGAAGTTAACGCAGAGAAAATTTTAAGTTTGTGTCTTGTTAGCAGAATGCAAGGCAAAATCCCATAAATCCCATAAAAATGTGGTAAAACCAAAACATTTGAAAAAATTGTACCAAATCCAAATTATATTCAAGATGTAAGGGGCAGATTAAATTCATTTTATACCCCACTAATCAAAACAGATTATAATATACAAAACTACATTTCATCTGTTATATACTTGTGAAAAATTTGGTCTTATCCTGAGGAAAGAACAGATTAAATCTGTTTAAGAACACAGGGCTGAGAAGAATGCTGGCACCCACGGCAGGTAAAGGAAGAGAATGAAAGAGGAGCTTGTTACAGAATTTGTAATGTTCAATAAATATTATCAAGATGATCAAATTTATGAAAAGGGCAGGGCATGTAGAGCGCATGGGGAAAGGAATGCACGCAGAATTTTAGTCAGACAACCTGAAGGAATTATTCCGCTTAGCAGACAAAGGAATCGATAAAAGGATAATATCAAGATGGATCTCAAATAATCTGAGGGTGACAACACACAGCAGATTCATGGCACAGGATAGGGAGCAGTGGAAAGGTTCTTGTGAACATAATAATACCATAGGGACAAGATTACTTGCTAGCTTAATTCCCCAATGGTGTTGATAAGTGCATTCGACACAGTCTAGTTAGTGCTACCATAGGGACAAGATTACTTGCTAGCTGAATTCCCCAGTGGTGTTGATAAGTGCATTCGGCACAGTCTAGTTAGTGCACGGAACAGCTGGGTAGCACAATAACTGCTTTAAAAAATTAACTCTATTCTCAGTTGTGTTACTGTAAGGGTGAACCATAAACAGAATTCTGGCAAGGGTGGGAAAAACTATACCTATGTAACATTGAACCATAAAAGGCTAGGAATATGACTTTTCCTTTAAAAAAATATAAATACATTATTTCAATTTATTTACAAAAAGAAAAATTCATATATTATACTACGAATATCTGCAACATACAAGTAACATTTGTTAACGTTCAGAACACAGTTTCAGCTGCAGACTGTGATTTTAAACAAGGCAATGTTATGAAATGGAGAGAAAAAGTATGGAGGTGCGTGTGCGGCGCATATCACTTCGCTCTTCACCCTGGATTAAGAACGTGCAAGTAATCTGGTTCCTACAATAATAACCTTCAAGTTCCACAAGCAATGGCAAATCCCTTAACCATTCATTGCATTCACTGCAATGTACAATGTAAATGAATTATTACGCACAATGAAATGATTGCTGATAGATGTTTGGCCAGTGAATGAAATAATGAGAATGGGAGTTTGAACTTTAAATACAGAATTCTATTTTGCTGCAATAACTTTCACCTTGCACATGCAGAAACAAAAATATTGGTATGTATCTTTGGTGCTAGGTTAGAAGGGCAAAGTCAACAATAATTTGTATACTTACGAGATTCTTACCAAGCACCAAGGGTATATTACAGACAGTGTAAAATCAGGCACTCCAGATACACACATGAAAAACCAGGGGCAATGTCCAAACTGGTATTTTAAACATAAGACAATTTGTAAAATGCCAAGCATGATATAATCATTCTTCTTTGACTATGTACATCATAATGGAACTTTTTGCACAATATGGAATGTATGAACCGGTCTTACAATTAGACAGGATAGGCGAAGGAAGAAGTCTATGGAAAGATCTTACGAGAAGAAGAGATAGATGGCACCCAGGATTGGTTAATTTGGTAATGGCAGGAACAGTTGAAGCGAAGAATTGTAGGGGGAAACAAAGATTGGAATATGTGACACAGATTTTTGAGATTGTGGGCTGTAACAAATATGTGGAAATGAAGAGACTGGCGCAAGACACGAAAATAGAGGACCACATCTAACCAGTCAAAAGACTGATGACAAACAAACAAGATATATCAATGGAGTAAGGCAGATAAGGTTAGATGATCAAGAAACATTACAACAGAAACAAAAATATAACTTTTCATAATATAGAAATATCTCTACAATTAAGAGAATCTTGTCTGGAGGGTGGGGGGGCTGAAAAGCAGAAGCTGTTAAAACTTTACTAATCTTTTCTGAATTTAATTCACAGAACACCACCGCATCAGCATTCCTGATTTACTATTCAGGTTTCTGGTTGAAATCTCAGTCTACAGACTGACCATCGTGCCTCTTTTCGTGGTTCCTAAGTCCCTCCAAGTAAATTATGGGACAGTACATAAAATTAGGCCATGGTTACTTCCTTATGTATCCTTTCCAGTTCATTATTCATCCTGTCACTGAACATTATATAGTCTGAGCTGCTCACAGCACCATTAAATACACAACAAATAAATAAGATCACTAAGCAAGCAGATACTTTACCATGTGCCTTGATTAATAAAACCACGTTTACAAAAGCACCTTTGTTACTGAGATCATAAAACAAAAAGGAACTTATTAATCAAACTGTTTTTGACTTTAAAAAATCTAGCTGGAACTTCAGAACTGTTCATGGGAAAGATTTTAAATTCTCATGGAAGTGAAATTGTTGATTATGGTCTTCTTGATTGTGACTCTACGTAGCATATGGCAGGACTTACTAGGCTATGGGTTATCACAATCCAGAAGATCACAACTGACATGTGCACAGAAAATTCCACTACTGTCAAAGCGAGGGTAGTGTGGAGGATGCTAATCAGAATACACAAAATATGTTAATATGGATGGAAGGTAATGGAAATGATCACGTGGCGGCCTACAACTTCTTGAGTTACTGAAGAAAGGCATCATGCATGGGATCAGCAAATTTTATTAAAATGTTTATGTGGGCTGAGTACATAACATTAGGCGTTGAACTTGCACAAAATGACAGAACTGCAAAAAATAATTCAGTCAATGGAAAATTAATTGCTCCCAAAGATTAACACAAGTAGGAATCTGTTTCCAATAGCATTCAATTAAATGCTGTGATCCTCATCAATAATAGAGCTGTGACCATCACATCCACATTACAATATTCATGGCTGAATATAACATAACAAGGAGCATGGAGTAAAGGATTCATTTCTTCTGTACAAAAGAAAGAGAGATGAAAACAATCAGCAAAAGAGCTATGAACAAATTTCAGGCAGGAGGAGAAATGAATGAAAAATCCATGTTCCAGCTTACCACCATAAAAGCTAGGCTCTACCAGTCACTGACGTTGACAGGAGATGCTAGAGACATGCGCGTGCACACACAAACCAGCTGTTATCATAGAGACATCACAGGATAGTTTCTATCAGCTAAAAACCCATAATGAAATTTTAAAACAACTGTACAAAATACTGAAATTCTCAACATGCAACACAAATATTCTGGACATAATAAAGTCCAAGAAGTTAAAGGACTGCACTCAATTCAAAGGATCTGAATGTGGATTTGTAAAATAACACTGCAAAAACAAACATCTAGGCAACAAAATGTTTGTGTCAAGAACAAAAACGTCTTGCATCAATGATAGTAAGATTCTAGTTTGCCAATTGCTAGTTTCTAGTTGTCACATTTAATTTTAATAGAATTAAAGAAACTCCTTTGAAGCAGTCAGAGTGAAATTAATAAAAAACACTATTCTTTTTTACTTTCATTTACAAATGTGCAGTATGATCTGATTAATAAGTGTCTTTTTCAATTGAAACCAATACTTCTAAAAATGACACTACAATGATGCTTCTCCCAAATCAATTCTGCCACAGCAATAAAAGCACTACTGTTCTTTACAATAAGCAGTTCTGAAGTGCACATAACCAACAGCTGTATGCACGTTAAGTATTAACTAAACATTACAATGGCAAGTGAAAAGGAAAGATGTTGAATGGAACAAAGCATACTACCCTGCAGATATTAAGGAAATCTGGTGGGCTCTCAGAAATATAAACAGCCAAAATGTCCCTCCCCTATCAATCAAACTTCACAATGGCAACTTCCTAGACAGCTCTCACGACACTTTCAAGTGGATCATGTGAGCAACTCAAATAACATACTAAACCAAAGCTGGCTGTAATATGCAGACATCTGACTTGCAGAATGACGTGCAATGGGCCTTCAACTCAGTCTACCTACTTAAATTCAAATGTTATAAGAATACATGGAAACCTCCCAAGGGTCAACACACTGCCTCATACATAACCTTGACCCCCACAGCACCTATCCTAAAACAAATGACTTTCTAATTTAAGGGACAATGTTTCTGTGTAGTACTGACTGGTTAGGTGACCCTGCAAGACCGTGGCTGCCTCCAGACCCACGGATGAAAAAGACAGAAGAGAACAATTTTAGGGCTCAACATTATTG